CCTTTACACTAAATGGATACTATAAAAACGTTTGCACGGCAAAGATTAATATAATTTGTTCGTATTGACTCTCAAATAATGAAAAATTAATATGGGAAAATTGAAGGATCTACATACAAGAGTATATCCTAGAGGCAAAGACAAAACTTCCCATTGAGAAAAGTAATCCGCAACCGAAAGTGGTTTGTCTCCTCCGCCTTTCGGATCTAGTAGCGTTTTCTGTCTAATATCATAAGTGATATTCCAGTTATTTAAAACATCAGTCCAAGGTTCCCGACTTATTTTTAGCTATCGAATTGCTGCTTTTACTTCATCTTCATCAACTAAACATAATTTTGACAAATTAATTTATCATAAAATAATAAATAATAAACCGTGCATCGATTTAAAAGATAAAATTCGGTTTTAGATGACTTTTTCCACGTTAGGTAAGGATAATTTACACAAGATGGAATTTTCGAACGTTGTTTATAAAATTGAATGTTTAAATTGTGATCATACGTGGTCAGACAAAAAGGAAAATGGGTACTCGAATCAATGAACATAAATCGGATGTAAAAAAACAAAAAAAGATCTTCGTCAGTATTAGCAGAACACCAGATGAATAGTGAACATGATATTGATTGGGATAATGTTCAAATCTTGGACAAAGAACCTTATATGTACAAACGACTCACATCAGAAATGATTCATATAAAAAAACAAAAAAATGGTGTAAATAAGCAAACAGACACTGAAAGTTTTCCGGAATCATACTTTCCACTTTTATAAGTCTTCTTTCCATATAAGCGAAATTTAACGCAATATATGAGGATCATATCATCGCGTATTTCAGTATTGTCCGTGTCGTCGAGTGTTGATGATGTGTGTTTTGTTTTCTCGACCGTTGTAATATTATTATTAGGTGATTTCTTGCTGTTCTACTAATGTCTTGATTAAATAATTTAACGGAGGTAATCTTATTAATATTTCTTGTTTTTATAATTGACATTTTGCTTTAATTTAATTTTATTATTGTTAACTAGAGTCATTAAGTTTTATTTTAATTTATTACGTTGACTAGAATCAGGAAGTTTTTTGGTTCAATTATTGACATCTGGGATTGGTGGTTCAGCGATGCACGTACTAATGACATTAAAGATGTTTAAAGGTATAATATTATATTATAGTTATATAACACATTGTTAACGTTGACTGAGTTTCTTTC